ATATTATATTATATATATTTTGGTTATTTCATCTTTTTTGAAATGTGTGTTCATTCCCTTCAGTGGTCTTTCCTTTTACTAGTCTGTACAAGTCCTTTTTTGATGGATTTTCTCCTCTCTGTGTGGCAAACATTTTCCCATAGACTTTTTCCTTTCCCTATGGTATTTTCCCAGGTATTATAGTGGTTTATATCTTCATATGTCCAAGCCTGTACGGCATTTCCTTGGAAGCTTATAGATTCATATGAGTGTTTAAAAGTTTTGTTTTCAAAGGGCTGGCCAGATAGCTCAGCAGACTGAAGTGCCTGCTTAGGCAGATGCAAGGGCCAGGGGTTCGATCCCCAGGCCTGCCCTACTGGTCCTGGCCCCAGGGTGCACTGAGACAGTGATTGAGACTGGATGTGGTGGTGCGTACCTATAATCCCAGCACTTGGGAGGCTATAAACAGGAGGATAATTATGAGTCAAATCTATGTAGTGAGATCCTGTAGAAAAAAGTTTTATTTTCAAGGAGATAAAATAGTCCACCATATTTTCTTTTAATAATCTCACATTTTTGTACATTTAATTTTTTAAATCTTTGTAGTTTAAGTCCATTTTGAGAGAAACATTTAAACTTGATTTTCTTCCTAATATGCAACCAAATACTAATGGATTCTTATTGAAAAAATTCAATCATTACTATTAATAATTATTAACTATACAATGGGTTTATGAAGACTTATAATTGCCAGCATCATATTAAGGATTGTACATATATTATTCATTTTAATTTTTGTAACTACCTTCTATATTTGGCCCTATTGTTGTTATGTATACTTACAGAAAATGGAATCATACCATGGAGACTTTTAGTGATTTGGCAGAGGTTATTTAGTACTTTGCAAGGCAGCAGGGCTGGGATCTAGATAGCCTTGTTCAAGAACATTCTAAGTTAATTACTGCTATGCAGTTGCATTTATGTGACTTCCTTGGGCCTCACACCAGGGTGGCATGCCAATTACAACACTGCTTCGCATGTGTCTGTAGGGCTCATCTTCCACTTGGTCTTGGGCTCCCTCAACCCCCCTCCTTTCATCAGTGAGGTCAGTCTTCCTGATCTGATGGGCAGCTAGATCACAAGATTCCAGAACTGAAACCTTCTCTACCAACTACAAAAGAAGGCATAGACTATTATTTTTGAACAAAGACTGAGTTGCTTTTAAATTTATTATCTCAAAAAATTTTTAAAAATAAATCCTTTGTAATATTAGTTGCATACTACTTGACACGCTCAAGTATCACATTAAAATATTAGCATACTTAAACTTCTATGGTATATTAGCCTTATTTTCCAAATGGAATTTCTAAATAATAAACACAAAATGTTGAGCTCTTCATAAGGAAAGGTCAACATAGAGGGATTTTTCCCCCACAGATATATGAAATGCTTTGCCTTTTAAAAATTAAAGTTTATCTTTCTAATCTCTTCAAATAAGCTCTACCTCTCCCCCAAGTTCTAGCATTAAAACGTGTGCCCTATGTAGGGATAAGTTCTAGTGTTTTATTCCACAGCAAGGTGACTACAAATAATAAGAATACAGTGTATATTTCAAAAATCTAGATGAGAGAATTTTGGATATTTTTTACCATGAAGAAATCAGAAATGTTAGAGAAGATAAATATGCTGAGCTTGATTAAATATTATCCAGTATGTCCACGTATTGAAACAACACATGTCTTATATATATTATTTTCATTTCTATTTAAATTACTTGAAATAAAA